TGGTTGTGTAGCTGAGCTTAAGAGGAAGTTGTGAGCTAAATTTCAAGCCTCGAATGAGTCATGAAGAGATCCAGAAGCTGCCTAAGCCATGAAGCTAGCTCAAACCAAAGTTCCAAGCCAAATAAGTAGTAAAGAGCCAAGTAGTTGCAATAGAAGATGAAGAGAATGACCAGCTGTAGATCAGCGGTATTTTCTCTCCCAAATGAGCTACAAAGAAGTCGCTGACTTGGCCATGTTATGCATTGTGATTTGGCTGTACTTGAAGCACAAGGATCATGCTCAAATTAATCGCATGTTATTCATGCAAGTTGGGATAAGAGATTAGAAAGACTAGTCGCTTAGATTGGTTTAGGAGTAGAATAGATTCTTTTTTCCCATGCACTTTAATTTTTGAGTTGACAAACAGCATTTTAATTTTTAAGTTGACAAACAGCATTTTAATTGCTCTATTAAATACTGTTTGAACAAAAGTAAACAATTTGAATACTGTTTACATTTGAACGAAAATAAAAAAATCGTAAAAAATAAAGGTAATTGCCCTATTGAATTAATGCATTCGAACCAAATTGACATTTTCACTAAAATATAAGAATTATCATAATACGATAAATAAAAGAACTCCTGCAAGCACGAATAATTTATTAAATTTCTGACTCAAAATTTCAAACTTGATCCTTATCATAAAATAAAAGCATCATCGTCATTTAACACCTAATTCACCAATTATTGTTGGTGTGGATTGATTAATTACATTTGGTATGGGAATTGACCATTTCAAATATATATAAATTATTTATAACAATGAACAATCAAAGCGTACACACCACATCTCTTGTTTATTACTTTTTGTTATCATATATTGGAAATTCTAAAAGAATCAAGAAAGCAGGCAATGCCTTGGGCATAACATCCTGCACCAAAACAAACCTAAGAATTAACTAGAAAGAAAGAAAGAAAGAGAAAGAGAAGAAGAGAATCGACCTTCTCGGAAGTACTTCGGCCTATTGGTTTAGCTATATAAAATTATATAATACAGTTCATTTAGTCGATAAATACAATGAAAGAGGGAGTAATTCTTTTATAATTTATATAATATTCATTCTAGTAAAAAATACAAATTAAATTGTAATTGACATCTTGTTAGGAATATCTGTGCTGTCTTTTAGTCATGTTCCAAACCAAATCGCATCGGACTAAGAACTACTTTCACTAGTTATGAACTTATGATATCCTTGAGAATATATTCAAATTTCATTGTTGTTGGTGAAAAAGGGATTGGTTCCCAAGTTTCACAAAAACAAGAATATAAATAATTTATTAATTTAATTAACTTTTTAGAAGTTATCCTTTGAACAAATAAGTTTTTTTTTTTAATAAAAAATTATAATTCCGAAATAAAGAAAGAGATTGTAAATGTTAAATATTATCATATGGATTTAAAGTAGATGAAATTGTTTGAATTATAAAATGAAGATTGAGATTACCTTTACTAATTGTTGGAACAGTTTAATTCTGTTTTCGTTTTTTATATTTAAAATTTTCATGAATTAAATTTGTATTCTTTTGGATTTGATTAATTTAATTTAATTTTTTTCTATTAATGCTGATTTGGTCAGATTTGCAATGATCCCATAGCCTATGTACCCTAGAAATTAAGGTATTGTGTGACCAATTCATTTGCCAGCTGCATGAACTACTTCCCACTGAACATTTAAAAATAAAAGAAACCATTTCTAAATTAAAAAAAAAAAAATCAAACCTACCTTCCACAATTTGCTTTATCTTTCTCTTGGTTGAAGAAATTTTCATTATTTGTAAGTCAACATTTTTTTATAAAAGAAAAAAGAAAAAAAATTATTATAATTTATTACGAGTGGAAGTTAACCAAAGGGTACTGTAAGATAATTTTGTTATCCCCTTAATAATATTATATAATTATTTTTAGATATGATAATTTATATATTCGTATTATATAAAATATTAAAATTTATGTATTTAAATTATATTTTATATAAAAATTATTTGTTATAATTAATATCAACACGAAAATATAAATATAATTTTTTAATTTTATTAAATTTAAATATAATTATTATTAAAATTTTAAATTATATTATTTTTATATTTTATATTTATATCATATTATCATATCATATTTTTAATTATCAAATCTAATAATTTTATCAAAATAAGAGTAACTCTCGTTGTTTTGGCTATTACTATCTTTATTGGATGAACGGATCAATAAATCGAAAAAGAATATTATTAAACTTTCATTAAACTCTCCGTTTAAAGGCGGGCTCAGTGACGGCACATCCAAACATTTAATATTTGCGGACCAAATTAAAATTTATTCTTTTAGATAAAGTATTAGTACATAATAAGATACTCGAAAAAGTATTAATAAACTATCGATTCATTTAAATAAGTTTTGACCGAAATAAAACAGGACCAATCAATACTATTATTTTATTTTTACAATATTACAAGCCACCTCGATTAAATAAATAATATTTTTTTTACATAATTATAATTATTTTTATTATTTGTGGTAAATTTTGACTTGATCAACTTCCACTTATTACAACCACTTAGACTAAAATTGTCTCAAACAATGACGAAACTTCGTGAATCTAGTCAAGAATAGGGATCATAATGAGTCAAGTGGAATTAGGTTTTCGTTGAATCAAAATTTTTAATATTTATATTTAAATTTGATATTAAAATATTATTTTTTTATATTTCAATCAACTTGTATATTTATAAATTGTACTGTTTCAATTGAAATTAATTTAAAATTTTTAATTTAATATAATATTATAAAATATTTTTTATTAAATTAATATTTTAAATGAAAATATTAAATAATAATTTTATTAATATAATATATATAATTAAATAAATAATACAAAATATATATTTAGGTCAGATCGGGCTAATATCACCTAAAAGCCGATTATGATCCAAACCTATACCTAAAAAAAATCTGATTTAACTTCTAATTAAAAAAAAATTAATACTATTGAATCAGGAGGGAATAAAATCTATTAAATATAAATTATTTTATCACATTTAATAATAAAGAGAAAGCTATTGAATAGGACTATTTTTCTTGTATTTTACTTTTGATAAGAGAAAAAAAAAATCAAAACAAGTTCATTAAAAAAGATGATCACTTTTGGTACAACCGATCCACCGTGAACGATAAAGACTAAGTCCAATGACGATAAACATTTTGATGATTACAAAGCACATAGATAATTACTAGGGGTAAAACTTCACGACAACAACCCATATCAATATAATTATATTTAAACAATTATTTTGTGAATTTTAAAAATTTATACTATTATGATATTTTTAAAACTCTGTTGCCACATATCGTATTATTATATATTTTTAAAAAATAATAAATTTATATAAAATGTCAAATGATATGCGATAATCTTCTAACATTTTTTGTGAATTTTAAAAATTCATTTGTTGTTATAAAAATGAACTCACATATTATTCACATTGAAAAAGGAAAAAATAAGAAGTAATTTAATAAGATTAAACTAAGATTTATATTATGGTATAAAAAAGATTCATGAAATGTTTTTGATAAAAATGGCAAGTGATTTAAGATTTTAGCTTGAAAAAAATGTAATATATTTCATTTTGGGGTCATAATATTGACTTTATGAAAGAATGAAAATAATTGATCTTTAACTTCCAAATGGGACTTAAGAAAAAATTATAACCGTCGATATTGGAACTCAAAGTCCTAAAAATAGGACGGTGGCTTGAAAAAGAAGACTTTTGCCAATTGGCGAAGCACATGACACGAAAGGAAAAAGAGCCAAATCAAAACAGAAGAAAAGAACAGAAAAACGAAAACATTAAGAAAAGAAGACTTGTGGAGATAGAGAAACCCCAAATCCAAAAAGAAAAAAAAAAGGATAAATAACCAAAAAGAACAATTTCTTTTTAAAATTACTATCATGTACTTTTTTCGCTTCAAATTAAATGTTCGTTTTTATTATTTATTTTTGGATTAAATTTAATCAACTTTCATTGTCATTTTTGTGAAATCATATGGACTTAAAATTTAAAAAAATGATTCGAAAGTTTTCAATTTAAAATTTTTAAAAAATTATTTGTCCGAAATTTTAATTTCAAAAATATTTTAATAAATGAGGGCAAATGTTGGTTTTTTTTTTTTTTGAAGTAATTGGACTTGTTGTATTATTAACTATACGTTAAAATATAATATTAAAATATTTTTAATAGATTGGTTGTATTTAGTTATTATTTTTGTTACTTATTATTTGTTTTGATATAGAATTATTAGAAACTGGAGACCCAAAAGAAAAAAGGCTCGTGTAAAATTTTAACAAAAATAAATAACAAAAATTTAACTCACTACTAAAATAATTATTTTATATAAGATAAAAATTTTCTCTTAAAAACAATTTTAAATTTTAATTTATAAAATAATTATTTATTTTTTAATATAAACACACTTTCCTTTTCTTCTATTTTTAAAAGTGAAAAGCAAATGAAAAAAATTAATAACCAAACGAAATTAAGATATTTAAATGATAAATTTTTATTCTATACGTAAAAACTAAAGTTTTTAAAAATTAAAAACAAAATCAAATAGTAATTATTATTTTTCATCAATATATGTAATAAGATATGTTTCAATTATTCTTATAAATAAAAAATTAAAATTTAAGAATAAGATTTGTATTTTAAATTTATTAAATATTATTTTTGAAAATAATTTTATATATTACTTAAATTAAACTTGAAATATAATATATTAATTAAAATTTTAACTTTGCTTATAGCACCTAAAACTCGATATATAATATTTCAAAAAAAATTAACGTTTAAAATAATTTTCTTTCAAAGATATAAATAAAGACGGGATAATACATATCTTTAAAAATTGAAACTCGTACGTCACCTCCCAAGTACAAAACAATGAAAAAAAAAAAAAAAAAGAACGTGACAAAGCAAGAAAAACGAGCGACGTTTCTTTCCCAAATTTGGCTTGGACTCCTCGTGCCCTTGCAAATAAGACGTGTCGTTTGCCATTGAAAACGCGCATTCGCATTTCTTTACTTTTTTCCTTGTTCATGGGTTTTGGCCTACGCCTCCTCTGCCTTTGACTCCTCTCTCTCTCTCTCTGTATCTCTCTCAACGTTTACATTCTTTAAATCTTCTTTGAAATAGAAAACCAAAACCCGGAAAAACTCATTTTTTTAAAAATCAAAACCAAAAAAAAAAAGTTTTGAAAGTTTAAGAGACAGAGAGAGGGAGAGGTTGTTTGTAATTGTGAAGGATGACGGATCTAAGGAGATTGGCGTTGGCGGTTGTGACGGTGGCGGTGACGGTGGTGGGTGAATTTGGTTGTTGTAGTGTCGGAAACGTGGTTACTTTTGATGTAAAACATAAATTTGCAGGTAAAGGAAAGAATTTAAGTGCATTGAGAGCTCATGATATCCGTCGTCATGGTAGACTTCTCTCTACTGTTGATATCGATCTCCCTTTAGGTGGCAACGGACAGCCTTCTGAAACTGGGTTAGTTTTTTCATTTTGAATATATTTTCTATGTTTAAAAGTTTATATTTCTTTGTTGGGTTATTGCTTTTATGAATTATTTTTGGTTATATATGTAAATATTTGTGCCTTTTTTTTTTTTTTTATATATGTATATTTGAAGGAATTCTTCAGGTGAAGGGAATTGTTATTTTTTCTCTTCCTTTTCAAAAGAAATTCGGTTTGGCTGAATTTTGATGTTTTCTCTGTGATGATCGTTATGAGATCCAATTACTGCCAAAAAGGATTAATTTTTTTTTCTTTGGAGGGTCAACTGTATTGAATTAGTTTCATCTTTATGTAGTATAAAATTCAGCTGTTTAAATTCCATGTACCATTGTTTATATGCTTAATTGCTCTCAAATTCCATCATATACATATAAAATTTTAAAGCTAGGTTATTTGAAAAGCAGCTTGCTTCAGCTAATGTTAGCTTAACATTCAGCTGACTTGCTCTATTGGATATATAAGGAAGAGGGTTTTATTTTGTTTGGATAACAGTTTGCTTTTGCTATATATTAGGTTGCTAAATTTTTTCTTCATTTTCTTAAATTTTTTTCAGGCTTTATTTTGCTAAAATAGGATTAGGAAATCCATCAAAGGACTATTATGTGCAAGTTGATACTGGAAGTGACATTCTATGGGTGAATTGTGCTGGATGTGACAAGTGCCCCACAAAAAGTGACCTTGGTGTATGTTCTTTCTGTAATTTGATATTAATCTCTGTAGATTTTATCAGATATGTAACAGTCACAAGTATTATGTCATAGTGTAAATTTGTGGTTGTTGTGTTCTTTGGAATTATGATAAACTTTTGTTGAGAAGACATTTATTGTTTTAATTATTCTATTGCAGATAGAATTAACACTATATGATCCAACGAAGTCCTTCAATTCAAGCCTGGTTTATTGTGATCAAGAGTTTTGTTCTTCAACATATGATGGTCCACTCCCTGGTTGCAAACCCAATCTTCAGTGTCAATATAGTGTTGTTTATGGTGATGGAAGCTCAACGGCTGGATACTTTGTAAAGGATGTCATACAACTCCAGCAGGTGACTGGAAACCTTCAGACTAGATCTATGAATGGGACTGTTGTATTCGGGTTAGTTGGAATTCTGATTTTACAGGACATATTTTACTTTACTGTCATTGTTGCTTCTGCACCTTGTTCATGAAAATGGCCCTTATAATGATGGTTGGTCTATTAAAAAACTAAAGGCTTGTTTGGTTTGAGAAAATGTTTTTCTGTTTTATTTTTATTTTCTGGAAAGCAGTTTTTGTTCTCTATTTTTTTGTTTTATAGAAAATGTATTTAGTGAACAAAAACAAAATTTGTTTTCTAAAATGCAAAATAGCAAAATATGGTTGATATTAGTGTACAATTTTTTTTTACAAAAAGAATGATTAAAGAAATAAATAAAATATTCAATGATATTATTGATGATTTTAAACTTTTCAACTTTGTTTAATAATTGTAAAAGGGGTTTGACTGTTTGATTGAAAAGAGACAAAAGAGATTATAAATAATTCATGATGCCAAGTATATTTAGAGACAAAAAAGAAGCAGTTATGAAAATAATTAATATTATGGCTTCTAATTATAAATGTATATTTATTAATTAATGGCTTCAAAAAGTGTTCAAATATGGGTCAACTTCTTAACTTGCAAAACACAAGCTAAAAAGTAATTAGTATCATGTGTTTTCATTTTCATTTTTGTTTCCTAAAAACTTGTTTTTATTTTCAATTGCCAAATACATTTTCACTTTTGTTTTTCATTTTCCAAGAAAATGAAAACTAAAAAGGCCTCTATTTTTTAAAACCAAACACTACCTAAATGTTTAGTAATTCGCTTGAGCATGGCCTTGTCTTTGAAGCTGGCTTTCATTCGTTACTTGACCTAGGAACATCTGTTTCTAACCATTTTCTATCCTAGATAAATCTATTATGTGCAAATAGATGGGTGGTTTCACTTTGGTGCTCACAGTCTAACATTATTCAAATATTCATAGATTTGTTGAGCAATCTTGTCACAAACTATATCATACAAAGGTTGTTTTTAGTCCTCCCTAAGTGTTTGGCTGTAATATAAGAAACCACTGTTCCTCGGTGTGGTAAAATATCAGTTTTGTCTTAGGTTAAAATATTACTAGACAGGAAGAAAATGGGGGTTAAAGATGTTGCAGATAGCCTATGCAATTTTATTTATTTTTTATTGTTTCACCAACTTCTTTAAACAAGACTGTATTTGCACTATCAAATTTAATTACCGATTAATTAAAATATGGCGTGCATCAGTTCCTACAGTGTATAAATTCCTCCACGTTTGTGGTACCTCGATTGCAAGAAATACTGAATGAGGTCTTGTTTTTATTCAGCTAATCTTCCTCCCTCCTCTTTCTTCTCTTGCTTATTGGTTACTTGCATTAGTTTGGACTGAGTCAATCTGGTTGATTATCTTAAAATTCTGTTCACCTTTTCCTGTATTTTTGGTGCTCATCCTTTTCTTTCTCTGCTAGTTCTTCAACATGTTGTTGGAACCTCCCCCCCCCCCCAAAAAAAATAAATTAATTAATTAAATAAAATAAATCTTTAGAGGTATGATTTGAGAGATGGGCTCAGTTTCTTGATGTGTATTGGTTGGAGGGGTGGAACAAACTTTGTCATTGGAAGCATCTTTAACTGCACTGCTGTTGATATGCACTTTTGGTTATTTATGTAATTTATAAATTTCAAAAAATTAGAATTTCCATTTTCTGGTTAGGTGCGGTGCTAAACAATCTGGGGAATTAGGTTCATCAAGTGAAGCACTAGATGGGATACTTGGATTCGGACAAGCAAATTCATCTATGATTTCACAACTAGCTGCGGCTGGAAAAGTGAAAAAAATGTTTGCTCACTGTTTGGATAATATAGATGGAGGTGGAATCTTTGCAATTGGTGAAGTGGTATCACCAAAAGTGAATACAACACCTATGGTCCCGAACCAGTAAGTTATCTATCTTTAATTTCTTAGTTTCTTCAATATGTATGATATTTATAACTGATGACTTATAATTTAAAATTTTCTCATTGGGGTGAAATTGTGAAGATGAAATGCATACACTATGTAAAAATTAGTTAAGATTCCATATACCTTTGTTTTTGAAAGGGTTTGTATTTGAAAGGGTATAAGAAGGTGCTATTAAAATTCATAAATTCATATGGGTATTTTAAATTACCACTAATTGGAGATCCTGTAAATCCTTGAATTTTTTATTAATTAATAATCATGAGAGTCATTTTAGATATGTTTTATCTCACAATTAATACTATAAACAAAATATGCCCCTGAACATCCCAAATTTCTCAAAAAAAAAAAAAAACTTTATCTTTTTGTTGTCCATATAAGCTCCTATTTTATGATTTTTTTGTAGATAAACCCTTAAGTTGACAAAAAGATGTCACATGATACATAAACTTAATGGCCATTAGGCTTATCGTCAATTGACATCCTTTGCATCCGTGGTAGATGATGTGGCCTTTTTTGACGTGGTGAAATTGGCTGACTGGAATGACCACATCTCAGGCGGAAGATTTTTCCACTCAATCAATTTCACCACGACAGGAAAGCCAATAGAAGTCCATGTGTGCAGAAGATACTAGTTGATCAATGACCGTTAAGGTCATGTGAAACGTGACATTTTTTATCAACATAAGGGCTTATTTAGGTGCAAATCATAGAAAATGGGCTTATTTAAGAAAAGAGAGAAAGTTCGGAGCCTTATATAGTATTTTAGCCTTTATACTAAATTTGAAATCCAAATCCCTTCTTTCAAATTCAAGTTCTAAAATGCAACCTTAAAGAAAATAACCCAAAAAGGGGAAAAAAAAAACTACTGAAACAAAGACTTACTATTGCAGTTAGTGTTGTACTATATAACTGCTAATGGTAATGTGTAATTTAATTTTTTGCTTCTGCATCCCCAAGAAAAGGGAGAAAAACAGCATGCATCAAAGTGACTTGATCAAGATATTTCAAGTAAGCAAGGAAAATAACGTACATGAATACTTCTTTCTCCTTAGGAAATAACTTTTCCTAGAGCATTACTTTTTAATTTAGTCATGGTTAATTTATTTTCTTTTTCTTTTTTTAAATTAACCTAGTAATGGATCATCAATTAATTTGATTGACATGTGAACAAGCGGGAGAGATCATGTATAAAATTGTGTAAGGATCTTTTCATTGATCTATACCGTATAAATAATTTCTGGTGTATCTCATCCTTAAGAAACATTATAAATGCTGTGATTCTTTCAGGCTGTAGTAATAAAATATTTTAGTAGATCATGAATGACAAATTTAACCATTTCACTCTTAGGTCACATTACAATGTTGTAATGAAGGCAGTTGAGGTTGGTGATGCTCTACTAAATCTTCCAAGTGATATTTTTGCCAATGGAGATCAAAAAGGAACAATAGTTGATAGTGGTACAACCTTAGCATATCTTCCATCCGCAATTTATGAACCACTAATGTCTAAGGTAAGTATTACTCTTACCTTACTTTGATTTTGACATTATCTGCCACTAATCACGTTCTTTCTGTCAATTAGATTGTCTCCACGCAGCCTGGACTGACATTGCATACCATAGAGGGCCAATTTGCTTGTTTTCAGTTTGGATCTAAGTAAGCCACTTGATGCAATTGTACTCTCTGGCATATATGTCAGGAATGCGTATCATTTGTCTGTGTTATGGATAATAACACAATGCGAATTCTATGCTTTTAACTTCTGATGTTCTAAAATTTTTTTATATTTTTCCCCACATTTACGTTAATTTGATCAATAAACAGTTATGATTTAATTTTCTTGCTACTATATAAAAATATTTTTCTTCAATAATACTGGTGTTTTATGACTTGTTTTGCTGACTTTATCTCTAGTCTTTGAAACTGATAGATATCTCATTTGGATTCAATTCCAAATTGAAAGTATTGTTAACTAATATTTCCTAATACTACCACTAAGGAAAATGCATTTGACCTAGGATGTAGCTCTAAGAAAAAATAATTAAGAAGTTGAATATTCTGCGTTTACAAAGCCTGATTTTTTCTAAGAGCAAGAAGTAGAGAGATGAGAAGGCATAAGTTTACTGCAATTTTTTCTTAATTTGAACAACCAAAATTACCATAAAATGTTGTTCTAGCTTGGAATCTCTAATGAGTTAGAGAAACATTACAAAATTCTAATTAGTGATAATTAGATATTTCATCCTACTCTTATCAAAAAGATGTATCATGTGGTTGTGACCTGTATGTCAAGAGCACATTTTTACTTCACAGTTGTTTCTTGTTTTCTTTCTCAACTGTTGTTCTTTCTTGCTTATGAGAAATCTTACGAGGAAAGGAGGGATTATTATATGTTGCCTTCTTCATGAGCCGAAACATCTTTGAAAATTGTTATTGATATTCTACTAGGGAAAAGCGAAAGAGAAAATTTGTGATCTATATTCTGTTTACCTTGGTAATTTCATTTCTTTAACTTATGGCCTGGTTACTTGTGTTGGATTGATCAATACCTTTTATTTGAGACTTACTGGTTCTTTTTCTTCTTCCTTTCCGATGTTCTTGCAGTGTTGATAACGGATTTCCTGCTGTAAGGTTCCATTTTGAAGATTCCCTTGTTTTAACAGTTTATCCCCATGACTATCTGTTTCAAATTCGCGTAAGTACAATTTATTTCTTTTAATCATTTTATGATCCACAAACATGGTTCTCTCATATCTTAATGTAGATATTGGAAGTATTATGATGCAAATCAAGTTAGGCATTTTACGAAGGGAATGCTTTTTTTATGAAGAATACTAGCCAATAGCCCATAAAGTTTCATCATATGGTCAAATATTTGTTTCTCACCATAGTTATCATCTTAATAATATATTTTTTTTATATAAATTATGGGTTCTGTGCCTACATTAAGATAAGAGAGAACTTCCATCTTTAATATATAGTTCATTGATTTTCTAGGTAAACTTCTATGGCTGTTCTTAATCTTTCTATCAACCTTTATGATTTTGTAAACATCTTTTACTTTAGCTCTTTTTTGTTATGGCCTACCAAAAAAATTTCTACCTTTTAATACTTCTACTTTTGAAACTGAATTTTGATCAAGAAGTAATTTCAGTAGTTTTATTTATGGTGATATTTAATTCTATCTTTTGGTAGATTACTTTTCTCACATATCCATAAATTATTGAATGCTTATGCCTTCAACTAAAATATAAATTGTGGAGAAATAAATTCCAATTACTTTGTCTGAGTTTTTATTTTGAAAAGTATTGAATTAAATTGATTGACCAAGTCCCTTAATGACAATGCGCCCTACCTGGAAGTTATGTAACTGCTATTATCGTACATCCTAATTTATCATTGCTACAAGTACTGGCACTTCTGGGAATGCCAGCTTTTAACTTACAATACCTACATGGTAGGTCCATTCTTTATTGACAATACCATCAAAAGAACCCATTAAACTACAAACTTACCAAGGAAAGAGAGAGGACTGGGTGAGGGAGCAGCCAGAGGGAGGGAGACAAAGAGAGGGAAAACAAAACTGGTTCATTCAAGGATGATGATGGTGATGGTTTTTGGCAGAGAAAGCTACTTGAAAGTTTAGTTCTTTTCTCTTTTGTTTTGTTTACTAAAAGTAGTGGAAAGTATGATGAGAAGTGAGAAATATTATAAGTGAACAATATCTGCTACTTTTCTTCTTTGGTCGAAAATTATGAAATTTTATGTGCCATTTTGCCAAAAAGTAATTTCCCTTGTGTATCCCAAACAAGTAGGCGTGGCATGAATGCTCAAGTAGCAGGAAAAGCAATGTTTATAAGCATACCAAAGGTGGCTTCTATTCCACCCTTATGAGGTGGCATTTGGCAGGTCCGGGTTTAAACCCCAGCAGTTGCAACCCCTTTCACTATTCCCAAGCTATGGTCTCCTATGTACAAAAAAAATGTGGCTTTTATTTGTCATAAGCTGACAGCATGCACTAATAGCCTTATGTTCCATGATAATCTTATTGTCAACTGCGAAGCTTGTTGTGCGGAGTTTTTCTCTCTGTAACTGGTATATTTGATAAATAAGGTGGTTCCATCTGATTTTTATTTCTTCTAGTTTCAAACAAATTACCAAGGCCAGAAAGAATAATCTTTTTGTAATTATTATTACTATTATTATCATAATCTTTTAATTATTAGTCGGCAGCCAATTGTCAAATTGGTTTAAATAATTTATTTCAATATCTTTATTGTATCAATCTTCATTTTTTGTGGGTTTTGCATTAAGATATCACTTCATGGCTTTCTGCAGGAAGATATTTGGTGTTTTGGTTGGCAAAACAGTGGAATGCAATCTAAAGATGGCAAAGATATGATTCTTTTGGGAGGTATTTTCTAGAACTACTTGTACTTATGACCTGATTTGTCTTTTTGCTTGCAAAATATAAATGTGCATTGTCTTTGTGCTTCTGTTGATCTTATGCTGATGTTCTTCTTTGATGATCTAAATTGCGCATGTTAAAAAGAGTTTCAAGGTTTATCTATAACAGTCTAACAGAACACCTTACCTTGCAATTAGCAATTTTTATAGGTGGCAAAATAAACCCAAACTTGAAAACCTGCCCGAAGAAACGTGAACCTGAACACAAACCAATTTGCATTAACTAAGAAAGGAAAGCTCCGAACCTAAGAAACCTGAATTTGAAATGATATGAACTCAAGATAACCTGAACCCAAATGGATCAGAACCTGAAAATCATGCTGTAATGGTTAGAACTTACATAAGATCTTAAGTGGCCTGAAACTAGCATAAACCAAAAGCAACCAAAATTCGAAAGGACCTGAGTTCAAAGAACTTTGAACTCAAAATGACCTGTGATGACTCGTACCCATAGACAATCCCACTCAAACCCACACATTTGCCACCTTTAGTAATCATTAATTATCCCTTTTTTCCCTGTTGGTCATCCATCAGCAGAAGTAATATCTTCGTAACTCTATCACCTTCATAGACATAATAGCCTTTAAACTTCTCCTTCCAAAGGGAAGACCAGAAAATGAGTTTTACAAACCATAATTTTTTTTTTCCCATAGTATGGTTTATAGGAATCTTTTTTTACATCATGTAAAACACTTTCCATGATACAAACGAACTTTGGTTTTGGGCATATTTGACTCTAATAATTCCTGGCACCCCAACTTACCCTACCTTATAATTTATACTATAATGAAAGTCTTGTTTGATAGAAAGATTAAATCACATAAAGTCAACAAATGAGATGGGTTCATTAAAAATTCACAGATGAAAAAATGGCAAAAAAGAAAGCATTCATTCTCTTTCTATATCTTGCATCTATAGTATTTTTGCCCTGGTGGATCTCTCTTATTTAGTCAAAGTTTGAAATCTTGGATTACTAATTGGTGGAATACTAGGCAATCCGAAACTTTTTTGAATGATATTCAAGAAAATATTATTATAGAACAATTCATAGAATTAGAGGAACTCCTTCTGTTGGATGAAATGATAAAAGAATACCACCTGAAAACACATCTACAAAATCTTCGTATAAGAACCCACAAATAAATGATCCAATTGATCAAGATGCACAATGAGGATCATAGCAATATGATTTTGCACTTTTCACAAATCTAATCTATTTCTTTATTCTAAATGGTTATTCTATTTTGGGTAACAAAGAACTTATTATTCTTAACTCTTGGGTTTAAGAATTTCTATATAATTTAAGCGACACAATAAAAGCTTTTACTATTCTATTTTTAGCTGATTTATGTATCGGATTCAATTCATCCCACGATTGGAAACTAATGATTGGCTATATCTACAAAGATTTTGGATTTGCTCATAATGATCAAATTATATCTGGTCTTGTTTCTACCTGTCTAGTCATTCTAGATATGATTTTTAAATATTAGATCTTTCTTTATTTAAATTGTATATCTTCGTCACTTGTAGTTATTTATCATTCAATGAATGACTGAAATTCTACTTAATCCAAAACCTATAAATGTGAATTTTAGTGTTCCTTCATGCTGCATCTATGTGACTGGTGATTGGTGGCTTTAATCTTCTGAAGAATACTGATGAAAAGTAGAAGTTTAAATGGAAAGAACATAACAGTTATTTCTTTTGGCTAATGTATGTTTCTTTTAATGTGCTACGACATGAAGAGGAGAATAATCTAATGTGAAAGGTTGTGGTACCAAATTTCATTTATTTAACTTCATTATAATGCAGATTTGGTGCTTTCAAATAAGTTGGTTATTTATGATATTGAAAATCAGACCATTGGATGGACTGAATACAACTGTGAGTACTCTCTATGTCAAGAACTTTATTATTTTGGTTGAATTCTTCAATAATTTATTTATTTGTTTTGCTTATTGTTTCTCAATTATTTATTTATTTGTTTTGCTTACTGTTTCTACATTTTCCATGTTCAAGCTTGCATTGACTTCCTAAATATGGTAGTTTAGTGAATTATATAGTTCATGTAGTAGGATATTGGGATCTCCTCTATGGTCTTCTGGATTTTTACTCTACTTTTAATTTTTATAGTTTAACAATTGTTAACTAATAGTAATAATTTTCTTTTTGTTCCGAATTTCATATCCACCTTTCAATTTTGAGAATTTTCAAAGCATAATATTATTTCCTTTTTTTTTTTTAATACAGAAGGTTCTTGCTTTTTTGTACTTCATATTAACTTTTTTTTATGATTTTCAAAACGAAAAAAATTGGCAATAGAAATTATTAAACACCAATATTAAAAAAAAAAAAAAGGTTGCCTTTGATAACTTGCATTTAAAAGAAAAGATTTGGATTTCAAATTAAGTATAAATTGTACGATAAAGCACATATAAATATTAACTTCTACAATTATTCTCAAATTCATGGATTTGTTGGATCTTTATTAAGTTGTAAATTTGAAATACCTATAGCTATTTATGAATTCGAAACTCATTTTCTTATATTCTTTTAAATATATAGGTATATTGAATCTTATTTAATTTGTACATAGTGTCGGCATGTCCTTCTCATAATCATTCCCATAATTTATATGGTATAACTAAATCTACACCCACTATCAAATCATCTTTCCAAACATAACATCTAATATAAGAAAACCCTTAAGTTAGCTTTTTTCTTTAAAGTACATGGCAAGTCAAACAAGGACATTCAGTTGGGAATGGAGGGACTATTTGTTGCACAATGACATGCGCCACTTTTGTCACTGTCCTCGTAAGCATATCGATTTGCTTACAATTTTCTTTCTGTCATTAATGTTAGCATATGCATTTTCTGCAAGTCAAGTCGAGTCAGTGTCATTGCCAACCCCGTGGCCATTTTTACCCAGTCTTTTTACTGTATTTATACCACTTTCGTGAAAAAATTCATCGTGGCAGGAAATTGGCTTACAAAATGTGTTATTGTGGTTAATTTTAGGCTCTTCAAGCATCAAGGTAATGGATGAACAGTCAGGGACAGTGTATTCTGTTAGTGCCCATGATATTGGTTCAGCTTCCAGTTTGACAATTGGAGGAATTCTAACATTATTGTCTATACTAATTGCTTTACTGCACAGTTCTATAGCTTAGATTGTTGGAACCAGTACAGCCATTCTTTGGTTCTGTTGTACCATAGTTTTTTTTTTTTTTAATGAGAATGTTTGGTTTTTAGTTGTTTATTTTGCAACTCAGAGATCCCACGTTTTCATTAATTTTATAAAGATATATTTTTTTGAAAACTGTATTTATTTGCTGCAAATAAACTTGTTAGTTCATGCTGCAGAGTGCCACGTACAATTCTGGAATATCAACTGCATTAAGTTGTCTTCATTTTAAGTTTTCGATTTGTTTAGGTCATCGGTATCTGATGAATAATAAAATCGTTTCCATTAGTGTAATAGGCATTTTTTTTTATTAAAATTGTCGTTAAAAAAATACAGTGATAAACGTTATTGAAATTAAAATAAAATAGTAAATTTTAATGTTAGCGCACAAAATAATGATAAATTTAGCCTATATCTTAAAAAAATTTTAATAAAATAAATCAAATAAATAAATTATTCAACAATTTAGCACTGGTATCTTGATTTATTTCTTTTCATTAAGATATATCTTATTGGCAGATCGGCTTATTGATATTAGCCTAAACTCAGAGATTGGCAAATAATCTTAAAATAGAGACCTGAAATCTAGGCATAAAAAATAATTGAACTTTCTTTTAAAATAGAATCAGATTGAAAAGTTTTGCTGTAAATTTTTTATTACGAATTTAAAGTTTAATTTTTTATTACAAATTTAGAGTTTAAATCAATTAGTAATCACTCTTAAAAAATAATATCCAATAAATTTAAATTCAAATCTCAAACACTTAAAACCAATTCTCTTATTTTCAAATTAAGGCCAGCATCCTTTAGAAACTCTTGATGCCGTTTAAAGTTTAAAATAAGTTATTGCTCTAAATCTTCCATGGCTTTGTTGATCACTAAGAGCCAGGGAATAAATCATTGTGCATGGGGCTGAAATGAGTTCATTTTTATTTGCTACCTTGAACTGTTTGCAAGTACAACTGCCTGTTTGGCCACTTTGAAATGGCATCAGTCATCATGTATTTAAGAAAAAAAAACCTTAAAACTTAATTTGCTTGATTGGATTTCTCTTAAGAAGCGTTCTCTGAATTCTCCGTGTTGTCAGCCTAATCTTGAAACTATTGGGAACCATGTCAACCATGAAGTTTTCCAAGAGCGCCATCCTCAGATCCAAGAAATGAATTGAGAAAATTCTTCAAAAGTGGTGATCAGTGATCCATATCGAAGTTGGAAAAAAAAAATCAGGAAGAGATTCCTACAGCTTAAATTTTTGTCGTGTGGTTTTTGTTATTTACTCTGCAATTCAGACCCAGGATATATATATATAGAGGACACAAAGCTTGGTAAATATTATATTCTTGAATGACCATTTCTCAATATCTGCATTCCCTATAATATGGAAAAACATACAAAAACCTTCTCTCCCATAAAAGGAGAATACTGTTTGAAAAACCAATCAGACGTAAAGGAATGAAAATATTTTTGTCTAAAATCCCAATTTCTCTCAACTTATAAAAAAGAGAACAAGAAAAAAGAACAAAGGAAAAAGAACAAGAAAATGGGGATCCAAACAAGACTATCAAGAGAAATTTGTAGATGTACTTAGTTGTACCCAAGCAAATTCCTCTTTGTAACCAACACCTTCACAAGAGGCTTCGCATGTGTACACCATGATTGTTGCCCAGTCAAGAGAGTCAGCATCGTTCTTCACCCCAAAGTAATAAAGCAACTGAGGCAAGATCTGAACAACAAAATGAATAAAGACATCAACATACAGCTGCAGTGGAACTCATTTTAGAGATTACCACTCCTTTTTTAACTTGATTTTAGATCAGTAGGCTTCCATGAGAAGAAAAGGTTACTAAGGTAAAGATTACGAAGTACCTGAAATTCAAAACATAGGTCACCACCACAATAGCTGCATCTTGGAATATCAGCCTTGGATGGCCGACCGCCTAACATGGGCCACAGTGGTTTAGATGTAGCACTCCTACAATACCTGTTATTGTTAAAGAAAGAAAGAAATAAACATGAGAAACATGAGAAATCAAGTATGCTGAGGGATAGCAAGGACTTTGAATCAATGAAAAGAACAAAGAGGAATTAACCCAAAGAAAAAACAAAGAATCACAATTGGGATCAACTCTATGTCAGTAAAAATGTGTTGATATGTACTTCTAAATGTAATATCTTCAGCATCCAGTATTTGTTTGTTTTTTCTTTTTTTTTTTTTTTTGGGGATAAACTTCATTTGTTTTCTATTTTAAACAGGATGATTTAAAGAAGGCCTCATGTATAGATAAGCATGTGTTGTTGCCTCTTTTCACAATGCCATCCTCTATATTAAGGTCATGTAGGATATATGGATACTTTATAGTTTTTATATAACCTAAGCACTGGTAGAGTTACAACTCACAAGTAATTTCTGGAATTGTGATGGCTTCTCTTAAACTGTTATACGGTGCACAGAAGTCAAAAAAAATTTCCAGTTTCAGTAAAAAGCAGTCTCACCTCAAAACTTGTTCAGGAGCCTTGGCTATCCGCACTTGAAAAGAAGCCCAACACTTTTTGTCACCGTCTTCCTGTACAACAAATTAAATGAGTAATTAAGTGATTCAAACAACCATTTACAACATGCCACTACAACAGTAAAGGAACCAATACCTCAAAATTATATGACTTCGTTGTGTCTTCAATTCTGTTCCTGGATACCAATGAATTATTGACATGTCCATCATCTCCAGATACCTCTGTATCATATTCACTTTCATGTTCATTTTTCATCTCATACTCTGGCCATAAACTCTTGCTTGCAACTGCTTAAAATGAAAAACTTTAATGAGAGAGAATTCAGAAAGATCCTTAACATAATTTGTCTAGGCTCTGCAGTTCAAATACATGTACATCTCTATTCTCTACATGACAACTTCAATAAACAGAAAAGTTAATCCTAGAAGAAAATGCACTGAAACTTTGCCCATTAACATGCCAATTGAAATTCATAGCTGATTCCAACTCAATACCCCAGGGGCACAATCAGTTTTTACTTGCCTTTTTGTGGTTTAATTTGTGTGATTACACCATTACAGGCATTGCACTCGGATAACTGAGGTGAAAGACTCAGCTGTTGACATTCAAGTTTATGACCAGAGCGCCAGTGCATGACCTGAAAAGTAAGAAAACAGGAGGGTCGGCATGGACTTATCACACAAGTGAAAATAAGTAACAATTGAAAACCCTAACTACCTGGTGCTTTTGTGAGCAATATCGTGCTACTTTGCAACTACTACAGAATTTATCTCCTTTCCAGGTGCCACACCAGTTACAGAGTGGAGCTAAAACATGCACACAAGGGGGGAAAAAACATTATGAGTGCAAATGGAATAAATGAACCCAATTTGAGCTGGCTAATGCAGTGAAAGAACAAGAAGCTAATATTGACACTTAGAACAAAGTGATTGCAAAGATGAAATACCAAGTATGGAAAAATCTATTGTGTATAAACACGAATAAGGCAATTAAGTGAAACCCACAACAATGTGAACTTAACCAGTATTTAATGAAATAAATTAACAGAAATATAAATAGGAAAAGAACATGAAATGAATAGCAAGAGAACTCATAGAAGTAGCATACTGAATTTAGATACACCAAGAGAAGTGTTACTCTCCAAATGGCAAAAGCTTTCTTCTTTGTTATTTCACTTTCCTTTTGAAGTAATAAAATGGGTCATAAGAAACTTTACATTAAAAATTTAAGAAGCTTCCCTGTTTTAATCAATTGATCAAAACCCCTTCAAGTCAAGAGAGCTGTATAGAAAACCTTGTAGCATAGAACTCAAGTTTCCCGGTATATACATGATGTTGGCAGGAAGGGATAGGGAAAAGAAATGAGTAGAGGAAAGGAAACAACTTTGTTTGACCAAAAAGAAAATTGAGGATTAAAAGTAAATTTAACAACTACATTCATAGGGCAGATGGCTTCTTTCTTCTCTCCTATTATGGAGAACTGAATATTAAGGATTTGGAAGAAAGCAAACTCCCATCTCCTACTTCCACCTAACAAAAGAAGGGATGTGCATTCTCACTTCCTTGTCTTTCCATTTTTCACTTTCCACTACTGCCCTAACTAAGACATTGTACACCAAGAAAAGGCACTTAATGCAAAATTCATCCTTTGTAATCAAGCAGATCATGATTATAATTTGTGCAATCCTTTAAAAAAAATTAAATACTGAGATTATAAAATCTTACACGAACACAACCTTACTTAAATTCTTATACCTAGATGTGGTATCCAAAAGAACTTCAATATCGTCATTAAATTTGAATTTAGAATTCAGCAGTAAAAATAAGAACCCAAAGCTACCTCCAGGGGTTAAAAGTTTGTCAGTCGCATTGCCTTTAGGGGGTTCACTTGAATAATAAGGATTAGCACGAGGCAATTGGCAACGGAAAACCTTCACACTTGAGAAAACAATGAATAGTCAGAAACATAAAGCATATTGAAAATACTAACCTTGGCAGGGGAAAAAAAGAAGAAAACAGATATTGATTGAAATACCTCCGTGATCGCTTATCTGGATGGTGCTTCCATTGTTCATGTTGATCTCGGAGTAGACAATTCATAGAAAGACACATGAATACAAATAATGTTCGATGAAAAGTTGACTCTTTTTCAACTAATGGAGCATAAACCTAGGAATTCAATCAAGACTAAAATCAGCACAATCAAAATCACCAACTGCTTATCTTTCACTATCAAACCAGTAGAGAGCCCTTCGGTCTCGACTCTATCACTATCAAGTAGCTTTAGCTTTGGGAAGCTCAAGTAACGAATCAAGCCAAGTGGCTCAGAAATGCAATCAAGCTTTTTGCTTTTCTTTTTTTTAATTCAATAAAAATATATAACAGAATACAACATTCACTCGAATTTGATTCAAGTTCTAAACTAGAGCTCGAGTCTGACACAGCATTAGCTTGGCTCTGCTCCATTACACCATAAAATAACAAAAAAAAAGCATAAAAAGAAGTACCTGAAGTACGAATTGCAGGGGTTCTCCACATATATCACAAACACAAGACGTTCCTAAAGGCAAATTATCAGGGTCCAACCAAACCTACAGAGAAAACTTAACAATATCATAAACATTCCACAATATATATATAATACTTTTTATTTATTCAAATAAAAAAGTTAAAAGAAAAACATTTTTAGCGGAAAGCAAAAAAATTGTTTACAGGGACGCCTCCAGCCTTGCTTGGAAATTGTTGACGAAGAAGAGACCAGCTGTGTTCAGGCTTTTCCACAAACCCAAGAATCACAGGTTCTCCTTCATCATCGTCGTCGTCGTCTTCATCTTCTTCATTATCATCTTCATCTAGAGCAATTTCTTCGTCATCGTCATCATCGTCAAGTGTAGTAATTTGGAGGCCCTTAAGCTCTTCCATGGAATCTCCCTTGCCATCAACATCCATCTCGCTTTCGATTCTTCAGCAAAATTATGAAAAGCAAAAACTATTTTTAAAATTAAAGAGCTCTTTACTTTGGATTAGAGGTTCGGTGGAATGGAAAAGCCTTGGTTGGTTGGAGAAAGAAGGGCTTTTTCTACGAGTTTTAGGGTTTATCATTACTCATTACAATACAGTATGGGTTTTTGGCGAAAGCTGCGTCGTTTCAGAACAATAAATAGAGAGGCTTTACCCAAACGTCACGTCGTTTTGGGATTAAATAAAGGCATAAGGTTAAAAAAATTTCACATAAAAATTTAATAATTAATTAAGTTTTTTATATTATTATAATCAATTAAGTTTTGTAATTTTTATTTTGAATTAATTAAATTTTTAAATATTTATTTTTATCCAATTGAATCTTTATACATTTATTTTCATAAAAACAATTAACAAATTTTCCTACTCAATTTATAAAAATAAATGTTTCAGTGTTTAATTTATTGTAAAAAATTAATAAAATTTTGAATGATTAATAAATTTCAAGTCATGAATTTTTTTAATATTTTTATCAAAGAGAAAAAAAAAAAAAAAAAAGAAAACCAATGGATAGTGATAATGAAAATGCTAGAGGCAAACGTTTTTATAAACACCCTCTAGAACCACTCTAATCATCATGTTATGTAAACTTTTAAAATGAAGAGAAGAGGGTTGATTTTAACTGAAAATTTTTTTTTAAAATCTAATTCTTGAAAAAATTTTGTTTGGATTTCAAGTGATTAAGATGCATTTTCAAGTTCAACCGAAAAATTTGTAGTTTTAATAATAATAAAATTGAGTGATTAAAATATTATTTTTTAAAAAAAATTGCATAAATCAATTAATTTAATTTTAAATTTGTTGATTCTTACTTTTTTTAATTAAATTTTTTTAAAAACTTTTTCACCTCAAATTTAAGCAAAAAAAAAATAATCCACCTTGCATGATTTGAAGAGTGTGACAATAGTTTGTATATGGTACAAACTAATAAGATTAATCTAAACACAAAAAAGAATATCCTCATTTTCGATTTAAAACCATTAAAAAAATTCAAATAATAATAGAGTGGTGCTATTTGTGCACTAATTTTCTCTCTTCACATCCTATTATTATTAACATCTAATTTTTTATTTAATACATCCAAAACTCAAACACAAATTTATTAAAAACTCAAACACCTCGTTTTCTAATATCTCATCTCTTCTCTTGACTCAACCAAAAACTTCAAGTATTTTAAGCTCTAATAAAATCAAATTCAAAAAAAATTTCACTCTTTTGAAGTTAAAAAGCATAAAATTAAAGGCAAATTATTTGTTCTTTCTAATTTTTCATTTAATTTTATGTTTAATTTTGTAAGATTTTATATTAAAATATTTGAGTGCGATTCAAAACTTTCAAAAATATATTTTTAAAAGTTTTTAAAAGTTTTCAAAAATATATGTATGAACACTTTTAAGAACTTTCGAAAATTCAAAGTTTATAAAAATAGATATCGACAATGAAGTGTAAAAAATAAAAAAAAAATAATTAACTAATGAATATTTATGTAATGTCAGTAAAAATTAAAATTTTAACGAGTATTTAAAAAAATTGGAGTGCAAATAGCAGCACTCATAATTATATATTATTAGAAATGTTTGTGCTTCGCTAAATAATGGAGCTAAATGTAATTAGTTGTTGTCAATAATATATATATATATATATATATATATGTATATGGTTAGTACTTAGTTGTTTTAAGATATAATTCATCAATGTTGACATGCTTTCTAAAGAAAATATAACTTGAAAGTATCTTATAATAACATATAGTGTGTTTAGGCTTTAATCAAGTTATGTAAAGTTTTTTTTGGTTATCTGCTAATGACTATAACTGAGAAAATAGTTGAATATCAAGTCATATTGTATATCAAACGTTTATAAAGTTCATGTGATAAACATTTAACAATGACAGCAACTTAAATTGTAAAACCGTTTTTATAATTTTAGGTTGAACATAAATGGTTCTAAATAAAGACCATTACCAGAAAAAAAAAAATATCAAATATGTGAAACGATATGTCCAATGGTTAGGGTACATGTTAATTTTGAGGATATTCATTATTGAATTCGATTATTTATTAAGATAGTCAAATTAAATATATACCTCAATGTTTTTTATTTTGTTATCCGAACTCTATCCATATAATATAGAATACCGTTAATTATCCCGAATCTGTCAAATACCTCATTTATTAAATAAAAATTGACTTTCAACTTACATTTAAAATTAATTTTTATGGATATTAATAAATAAATAAAAGTTAACTCATAAAAATTTGTAATTAAAAATTATAATTAAAACATTTAATGAATTAATTTAATTGAATATTACATTAAAAATAAAAAATAAAAAATATTAAAATATAATTATATACAATCGGTTGCAAGTAATGGGTAATAAATTTATTATCCTAATTCTACCCAAACCCGACTATAAAATATTCTAATCCTTCTTAATCAAGTAGAATAATGCAAGATACCCGTTTATAGGGCACCCATTTTCATCATTAGAAAAGAGGACATCCAGTGAATTTCTTTATAAAACATGCTCGAAAGGCTGGAATTGATTCCTCCATTTGAAGGTCCAAATGTTTGGTTTTTATCAACGTTCTCAACATCCATTTTCCATCAGGAACTGTGAATTTTATAAAAATTAAGTTTATAAATAAATTTAATCATTGGGATTTATTTTAAAGTTAAGTTTATAAATGAATTTAATCATTGGGATCCAATAATGAATGATGTAGAACATTCTAATATAAAGATATCAAAGGTCAACAGCTCATCATAAGAATCTTGTTGACATATTTGCTCCCAAGTCAAAAATCAGGGAGGCATTTTTTACATAAGAACCACAGGTTGATCAAACACCAGTTGATTGAGCTTTTTAAGTCTAATTCAAAAGTAAACTTACATAAATAGTAAGTAAAATAGAGCTCGTCCTCAAGTCTTTTAGTTAATAATTAAAAGCGTTTGAAGAGACATTAAAAATCTGATTTCGGATCAAATTTTTTTTTTTTTTTTTACTTGTATTAAAGTTTTACCCTTATTACGTAACTAAAAAAAAAAAGAACAGAGCTTGTGCAATGGGTAAATCATCAAGGAAAAGTTATTTTTGATTGTATTATTAATAGATCCAATCCCATCTTGAACAAATCATCATTGCTCGTAATGCATCATCATTGTTCGTAATGATGCTGGGAGGAAACCTAGCATCATTAATATTTTACATGTAAATTGTGAGTGCAAATTGTTTTAATAAACATTCAGGTAAGTGTTAGAGCTAGGTGATGATGAACATTCAAATAAGTTGTTGGTAGGTGAGACCAGGTGCATATTTCATTATTCTTGTTATCTCATGGTATATCTACTACTTTTATCAGTATATTTTGCTCCTTGGCATCTTTGAATATGTGTCATGAGCTGTTAAAATCAACAAATGGGCAAGAGTGTTTCTAACAACTGAATCATTTAATTTGTATTGCCTTTTTGGACTGAAATTATTAGGAAAATGGAAATTTTTCCTATGATTTGTTGTCAATTACATTTAGCTGCCACCATTAACATTTAGCATGACAAAGATTTCTTAATATAAAAATATTGCATAAAAGGTCAAAGTCAAATGGTTCAATTAATCTTTATTCTTTTTTTTTTTTTAAATTATCTTTTATCCTTCCACAAACCGATCATGATGATTAGGACCAGTGCAATTCTTACTGATCTGAAAAGCAGTTAAAAGTGCAATCACAAAATTTGCATTGATATAATATTTCGAGAAATATTATAATTTTATTAGTTTTTATTTAAAAATCAACAAAATTTTGAAATATAATGATAAATTTTGATATTCAATCATAATATAGTGATAAATTTTACCTTTATCTAAAAAAAAATGACAAAAATTGTATTATAAGTAATTAATTAAAATTTAAAATTATATAAAATTTATTAAAATATTATATTGAGTGTAGTAAATTCTCGCATAATTTTTTATTGTGATTGAAAAATTATAACATTATAATAAAAAAAATTATAATTCAAATGTTCCCTTGAATCAGTGCAACTCTTACTGATTTCATAAATAGTTAAAAGTACGATCACCAAATTTGTATTACTATAATATTTCCTGAAATATTATAATTTTATTAGTTTTATCTAAAATTAACAAAATTTAAAAATACAATGATAAAATCAATATTTAATCATAATATACTGATAAATTTTGCAATACTTGGAAAAGTTGACATAAAACCAAGGCCAAATGGTTCAACTTAGGTTCTATTTAGATAAATGATAAAATTGATTATAGTAAAATTAAAAATAATAATAAATATGAGATTAATTATTCTAACAGTGAGATTAAAATTAATAATATAATATGTGTTTGGATGCAAAAAGTAATGATGGAAGTAAGATTAAGTGTAGTGAGAAAAAAATGACCATTAAAAATATTACATTAAAATTTGAATATAATAAATATTTTTAATATTTATTATGATAAAAATAATTAAAATTATTTTATATCAAATAATAATTTTAATAAATTAGAATTTATTTAAATCATTTTACAATAATAATTTTATTGATAAATAATTAAAAATTATTAAAATTATTTTCACAATAATAATTTTATTATAAATAATTGAATACATAACATGTAAATGCACTAATGTTAAGGTTTTAAAATTAAGGGCATTTTAAGAAATACATTAAATTAAAAGGGTAAAAGCGTCAAAATTTCCCTCCAAAGGATTTTAAGTCTTTCATCAAATGACTCAATCAGAACATATGTTACCAAAACATTAATTGTGATGCGATTGTATTGAAAATGAAGCTAAAACACACTAGGCTGAAGGTTAGGTGAAATTCAAATGAATTTTTAATTTTATTTTAATTAAAAAGTATTTTATAAATGCACCAAAACAGTCATGATAGTTTGGATATGTGCAACTATTATTTTAATCAAAAGCAGTTAAAAGAATAATCACCAAATCTGTATTAACATAACCTTTCATGAAATATTTTAATTTTATTATTTTTATTTAAAAATATAATGATAAATTTCCATACCGAATGAGATAAATTTGAACTTAATTTAAAAAATTGACATAAAAGACAAAATTAAATTATTTAATATATGATATAATATATCTTATCATGATACGAAAGATTGAATAATTTATTTATTTTTTAATTTTTTTTACAAAAAAAATTTAAGATCCATTTAAATAAATAATAATTTTAATTTTAATAAAATTAAAAAAATTATTATTATTATTATAACTACAATTAAAAAATTTTATATAAAAATTCATATTAAATAAATCTTATTAAAATTAATATTTAAATTCAACAAATAATATAATAAACTTAATTAAACCGCACTGAAGATTCGATGAAATATAAAACCCCCCTTCCCCTCACTTGATCTTTATGTCAAAAGCAATTGAAATTCAAAAATAATACATTTGAAATTAAAAAAAAAAAAAAAGCATTTGAAATGATCCCAATTCCAGATAAAACCAAAACAGAGGTTGTGGATTGACGAAAAGAAAGTGGAGGTTGTGGTATTGGGTACTGACCCAGATCCTTTTATCCACTGACAACAACTCAAGGAAAAGTGCATTGTTTTGAACAAAAAAACAAATTGGCAACCAATGAAAACTCTCAAAAAATTCAAAGCAAAAAAACAGTTGACCCCAGCATGAAACTCCTTGATATTCACGCCCTTTCCTTCATCATTAACGTTTCATTACTTCTGGCATTAATTGAATTCCCTTTTTGTCTTTCTTGATGGTTTTCCTTTGTTCACAAGAAAAATGCAAGCAGAAGACAAAAATTCCAATTTCACCAACAGAGGAAAAACTCGACCTGGAAATATCAAATTTCTCTAAAACACAAGGAAATTCCAATCCTTCCCTTTTCACTGCTACACAAATTTATGTTATATGTCATTACTGAAGATTATGATTAGTGAAAAGGCAATTGCCAAACAAAATTTTTCTCCATGTCTCTTCTTTGATTCAGCCACAATAATCTTTTTTTTTTCTTTTTTAAGCATAATTTGTCCTCTCCTGTCCCAAGTGCCAATCTTTACTTTTGCTTCTTTAGGTGTATCTGTTTCTTGCCTTTTCCATTTAATATGTATACTTTGATGTAACAAAAAGCTTGTTTTGTTCCCCATCATTGAATTCATATTTTCCACTTTCTTCCTCACTTTTTTAATATCAATAAATAGTTTGACAAAGATTTCTCCCTTCTTTGGAGTGCAATCATTGTATGTATAATTCATCATTTCCCTATTGAGAAAAAGGACTTTTAGGGGCTTTTTATCATCAGGGTCGGTTATGGAAAAGATGGTTTTTGTCATATCATTTTGCATGCTTTTCAGTTTTGCATCCATTGAAGCAGTTCAAAATGGCTCACTCATAACTCACTTACCAGGCTTCAACGGTGCTTTCCCATCCAAACACTACTCAGGGTGATTACAACTCTTTCCTATTCTCCCTGTATATATCCTTCCAAGTGATTCATATCAGAGTTTGTGATTTGGTGGCAACCCTCTCAGGTTTTTGATAGTATTGTTTTTTAATTATGAGCTTCTGATGAAAATGAAGGGACTGAATTTGCAGATATGTAAGCGTAGATGAGAAGAATCTCTTCTATTACTTCGTTGTTTCAGAAAGAAACCCATCGAGGGATCCAGTTGTTTTGTGGCAAAATGGTGGACCTGGATGCTCTAGCTTTGATGGTTTTGTTTATGAACATGGTAATCTTCCCTTAGACCACTTTTTTTTTCTTTTAATTTATTTAATAGGCTAGCTTGGCCACATATACAATATTCAGGACTTGACTTTAATTCATATGTCTAGCTTTGATGGTTTTGTTTATGAACATGGTAATCTTCCCTTAGACCATTTATTTTTTTCTTTTAATTTATTTAATAGGCTAGCTTGGCCGCATATACAATATTCAGGACTTGACTTTAATTCATATGCTATCCTAGCATATCAATCAGATCTCCATTATGTATGCCAGGAAAAGAAAAACGATCCAATATTACACTGTATATAATATGCTTTAGATGCTTTTTTTAATCCAATAATTTTGTCATAAAATCAAAATTTTAATCTCGTATTCTTAAGATAAATTGCATCATTAATATGCAATCCTGTCTATATTATTTCATTTTCATTTGCGATCCTTGAATTTTTTTAGAAGATCATTGATGATTTTTTAAGTCAGGATGAATAATAAATATATAATTAAAATTTACCAGCACGTTCATGTTATTTTGCATTTTTTTTTCCTTTTAAATCAATTTGTTGCATAAATTTGAGATAAGAAATAAAGATAGGAGGAAAAATAGTAACCACAGTTTTATAGGTAAGCAGATGAATGTGACTTCCAGTCGTTTTTGGCTTACAGTCATGCAAAAATTGATTGCTTTCTCTGTTGAAATTTTTTTTATCAGCGACGACAGGTAGTTATTCGCTGTTCACTGTGTGTATACATGTAGAGAAAGCTCAGTCTCTTACGGCATTAATGACTCAAATTCTAAAAAGACAATGCTCTATTAATTAAATGCTTGATATCATCCATTCACCTGTATTAGACTGGCAGCTAGCTGGGAACAAGAACTCAAGATAGTGTTTTTTTTTTTTTTTAATTAAAAAAAAGGCAGTTTTTCATTTGTGCCGCTGCATCTTTTTTTTTTTCTTTCAAATGTATGATTCATTCATTTACTACTACAAATTTATTTTTTCATACTCATTGATGATGTTAGAATGTTGAATATATGTAGGCCCTTTTAATTTTCAAGAAGGAAAACCCAAAGGAAGCTTGCCCACATTGCATCTCAATCCATACAGTTGGTCTAAGGTCAGGCACTGCATGGCATACCCTTTAAAGTAAACTTACTTGTGATCCTACTTTTTCTCCCTAAACCAAAGTATTTAATCTTAGTAACTTTGATGTTCAAAACCAATACTTTTTAATCCTACGAAATGGTCATTCATTGTTCTATTTTTCCCCTTATCTGAGCTTCTGATCTCAGTTTTCTACAGTGGATGCATGCTTTTGTTAGTTATCTTTAGCATTTTCCAGGTTTCAAATATCATTTACTTGGATTCTCCGGTTGGTGTTGGCCTCTCTTACTCTCAAAATACAAGCACATACATAACCGGAGACTGGCAGACTGCAGTTGACACACATACCTTCCTCCTCAAGGTATTTAAGCCCAAGTATGATTCATATAATAAGCAAGAAGGGGTCAACACTCGTGTGGTCTATCGGTAGAGTGTTAGATTTTTAATTACAATAATCAGATTCAAATCCAAATCCTGACAGGCTAAGTGCAAAAATAATAATAATACTTACAAAAGAAGGGGAATAAAATTCTCAAGTCATTTATCTACCGGCTAATGTTATATGAATATAGTAATTAATTATTGAATGAGAGAAAGGTGCCAAGACTAATGAATATTAAGTTTGTTAAACTAACTTGTTGATTTTCTAATAGTGGTTCGCTCTCTATCCGGAGTTTGTTAGCAATCCATTTTACATCTCAGGAGAGTCCTATGCAGGAATTTATGTGCCCACTCTTGCTTCCGAAGTGGTGAAAGGTACCTTTTTTACCGATAATATTTCATATTTTCCTGTTGGCATATATTGGAATTGTTGGTATGCTAATTTACATTATGGTTTTAGGAATCAAAGCCGGTGCAAAGCCCACAATCAATTTCAAGGTGTATATATATATTACCATCCTGACAGCCAATATCTAGGATTATAAGAACTTTTGAACAAAATTTAGAATTGAGAAATTTCCAAATGCAGGGTTACATGGTGGGAAATGGTGTGACAGACCCAGTTTTTGATGGGAATGCACTTGTCCCCTTTGCACATGGGATGGCCCTCATTTCAGATGACATTTTTAAGGTAGGTGGGAAAAGTTGGAATACATATGCATATACATTAATTTTTCTAATTAATGTTTGGTCATCTTAATCTAGAAATTTGGGGTTTATGTTAACATATCCCAACCAACTTTTAACAATTCTTTTCTACGAATACGTTCTTTTAAACGCAGTCCTTCCTCATTGATTCCATCAATTTTCGTAAGTAATTCTCGTGCCAACTTTTTTATTTCCCTCCAAAGATTACTGACAGATTATTATTCGTCGGTAACTTGCGTTGATGATCTATAGTTAAACTGTCGGTAATAATCATGCTAATTATTTTTTTCGTTCCGTAATAAAATTCCGTCGGTAATAAACTTAATACTGATAGTGTTACTTCAGTACAGCAGTACTGGTTTATTAGTCACCTTTTTCTTTTTATTGGCTTAAAAGAAAAACAAACATTTTGATCTGAGCAATATGAGAACCTTAAAAAATTGTATGACCCTAGCTAGAACTGCAACTCTTGCAAAAAATTTAACACCTTTGCATATTGAAACTTCACTTGAGATGATGCACAGTAACTGTTGCAGGAAGTTGAAGTCGCTTGTGGAGGAAACTATTCTAACCCAGCCGATACTTGTGATCAAAAACTTGAAAAAGTTTACTCGGTGAGATACACACCAATTTTATGTTGAATTTTAATAGTATTCCTTTGACATTACTAATAATTGACATGACTTTTTAGGCAATTGCCGGTTTAAATATTTATGACATTCTTGAACCTTGCTACCATGACCCCAAAGCTCAACAAAACACAAAAGGAAACACAAGCTTGCCAGTCAGCTTCCAGCAATTAGGTGTTACAGAGAGGCCTCTTGCAGTGAGAAAGCGGATGTTTGGTCGTGCTTGGCCATATCGGGCACCAGTTAAGGATGGCATTGTCCCTTTATGGGGGGCTGAACTAGCAGAAAACCAGCTGCATGTGCCTTGTACTGTAAGTTATTTTAATCGTTAATAGTGAACTTATCTTTCTTCAACATTTTAATGATCCAAACATAATTTTTAATTAATAACAATTGACTTTCTCAATATGTTCCACCTTAATGACTCATAGTCTTCAATTATGAAGTTTTGATACATTTTTGTACTAGCAGAACGATGAAGTTGCAACGAGATGGCTAAATGATGCAGCAGTGAGGAATGCAATTCATGCACAACCAGTAAATAATCTGCCTCATTGTGATTACTTGCTGTATTTCTCATTCGTTCGTAATCCCATATGCAATGATGAATAGGAAAATGTAGCAGGCCCTTGGGAGTTATGTACAACCAGAATAAGCTATTATCATAATGCTGGGAGTATGATTCCTTACCATAAACAACTAACAGCTGAAGGTTATCGAGCACTTATTTTCAGGTAAATCAATTAGAAGAGCCGATCATTTTGCTTCCGTTAAATCCTTAAGTTAATTTCTCTTTTTCTCCTTTGTTTTCTTTTTCCCCTTTTATATTTACCTGCAGTGGAGACCATGATATGTGTGTGCCATTCACTGGGACCCAAGCCTGGACGAAGTCACTTGGATATAAGACAATAACTCCATGGAGATCATGGATATCTAATGGCCAAGTTGCTGGGTAAATTTGTCTTTTAAACTCTGTAGATTACAGAACAAAATCATATTCTTGTGTTCTGGCCTCCCAGGAGATGCATGAGTATATAGTATTTTCCCAATATTAATAGACAGTTTATTCCTGCAGGTACTTGCAAGCATATGACCATGACATTACCTTTCTAACAATCAAGGTTTGACAATCAATCCCTGTCTTTCTAACCACTGAAGTGTTTTTGGGGACAAGTAATCTTCTGATATGTCTTGTCTGAAACTCAATTGTTTTTTCTTCTGAATTAAAGCTGCTACTTTTCCCTGGTGCAGGGTGCGGGACATACAGTCCCTGAATACAAGCCGAAGGAAGCATTAGACTTCTACAGCCGATGGTTGGATGGAAAACCAATATGAAATTGAAGATAGATTTCTTCCTTAAGACAAAAATACCCTTCCATTTTCCATCTTTGGGCTATCTTGCAATGAGACATCATTATTTTCTATACATGAAAGAAATGAAGGGGAATGAATAATGATAGCATTGAGTTTTTATTATTCGCCTAGTGCAACCCAAAAACCAAATCTGTATTGAGGTTGAGTTCTTTATCGTAGTCATTCTTGAAGGAAATTCAATGGCTACAAAATGTTTCAAGACATTCCCAGAGGCAATAATATTAATAAAATAAATAAATAAATTGAGAGAGAAAAGATGTCAGATTTAGAGGCAGGAAGTTGTTTAAAACAAAGACATCAACAAATATTATTTTCACTTCTCATATATTATTTTACTTCTAATATGGGTTATTTTGACTACCGGTGGAGAGGAGATGATAAGTAATGCTAAAAATAGAAAAAAAAATTGTGGCGGAATCAAATTAAGAAGAGACATGGAGGAAAAAAAAATTGTTTGGCAAATTCCTTTTCAACGATTATAATCTTTAATAATGACATTCATAATATTAAAATTGTGGAGATTGGAAGAAGGTGTCCTTGTGACACTCCCTCTTTTTATTTTTTATTTTATTTATTTATCTATATTTTAATTTTTAATTTTTTACCTTTTTATTTGTTTTTATTTTATTTTTTGTTAGATAAATTTTATAAAAAAATCAATGGAAGTAAAATGATAAAACAATCCATATATAATTAGTTTTGATTTACATCAATTTAATATAGGTACATTTTTTTAAATCGAGATCAAATTAAAAATTAATTTTAAATGAGATGGATTTAAATTGATATGTTCCATCTCATGTATCTACGTGATACCTCCCTCCTTTTACATTTTTTCATTTTCTTTGTTTTTTGAAGGTTTTGCATTTTTATTTTTTTTATTTTTTTAAAAAAATTTACTTTTATTTTTTTATTAGATAAATTTCGTAATTAAAAAAATTAATTGAGATACAGATATAAAATAACCTATACCTAATGAGTTTTGATTCATCTAATTCAATTGATATACTTTTTTTTTAATTCAAAATAATTAAATTAAGTTTTTTTTTTTTAAATCAAGCTTGGGTCAAAGCAAGATTTATGATGTTATGTCTCAATCTTGATATATATATATATATATATATTTTATTATTTATTTAATTTTATATTTATATATGTATTTTATTTAAAAATATTATTTAATCTTAATGTAATAAATTCATGTGTCATTCCATTTGATTTTTTTTTTTTTTGAGATTTTATTTACTAGAAAACTTGTGTTAAAAAAAAATTCAATAAATATAGAGATGATAAAATAATCTTTATTTTATGAGTTTTGATTTGCTATGATCCAATTAGTATATTTTTTTAAATAATGATTGAATTAAATTTTATCTTTTTAAACAATTTGGATAGTGGTGATCAGATTTGAAATATTTTATCTTGATCCTTCTCAAAACATATAAAACAATATATTTAATTATTTATTTAATTTATAGTTATATATTATATTAATAAAAATATTATATAATAACTTATTTTAATAAAAACTACATTTATGTATAATTAAGTTATTAATTTATATTAAAAAATGACTATAGTTTATTTATCTATATATTATCATTCATTAAAATTTACGATTAAAATTTTATTTTTAAAATATAATTTACAAAAAAAAAAAAAAAAATCTCGCGACAAAACGCAAGTTTAATTCTGATGTATATTTCATTCGTGCAGCAGTGAAAAGGAGAGGATTGGAATTTCCTTTAGTTTCAGAGAAATTTGATATTTCCAAGTCGAGTTTTTGCTACGTTGGTGAAATTGGAGTTTTCTCTTAGGCTTGCATTTTTCTTGTGGATAAAGGAAAACCATCAAGAAAGACAAAAGGGGGAATGTCAACTGGAAATACGGGAATTCAATTAATGCCAGAAACAATGAAAGGTTTACGGTTATATTTGGACAAAGGATGAGATTAATTTTATTGAGATTAAAAAAAAATCATAAAATTAATTATTATAATTTTGAAATTAAAATCAATCATGAATTATGTGTTTTGTCGTAGTGAAATAAAGTATAATAAAAAAATAAAATTATTAAAAATATCAAATTAAAATTTATATATAATAAAATGTTCAATACATTTTTTATATTTATGAGTTAACAATGAATTGAAATTTATTACAATTATTTTTATGTGAAATAAAATTTTAAAATTGTATTTAATCAAAATTTTAATTCATATTATTTTATATATAAATAATAATTAGAATTTTAAATATTAAAAATTATAAAAATATCTCAAAATATTTAATATTTGAAATACAATATTTATAACAATTATAAATGTTATTTAAATAAATTAATATCAACTATAAATATAAAACATATAACAAAATAAATAAATTTAAAAACAAAACAAATTAAAACTTATGTAAGAATCTTTTAAGAAATAATATATATATATATATATATATATATATATTACATTATGGTCCAAAATCTTTAATTGAACCCCCTCCGATTGTCCATTGCACTTTAAAGCCTCCAATCTCCAACTAGAGAAATGAAGGGATTAAATTCAGTGAACGATGCCCATCCGAATGGCTTTCACATCATGATTTAAACAAGGGACCATCACACTGACGTTAACTGGCAATTCAAATATACCCTAAATCATTATATTATTTCTAACTCTTAATTTGTGCACATATCATATGATAGGTGACTTTTCATCCAGTCCATAATCTTATGTTCAAGATTAACTTCTTAAATATACATATATATATATATATAAATTATCAAATACATTGATTGATCGATGTTAAACAATCATCGACCATTCAATCAAGTCAATAAACGATGTCATTCAACCAGAAAAGCGGCAGTCCTTTTCTTTACCCTTAATTGTGAAGAAATTGACGTTTGTATCATTGTTTGTAGAACCTTTTTTCTTATGTTTCGAGTTATTTCAATAATTCAATGGTGGAACAAGAGAGAGATGCAGCTCCATCAACTCATTGAATGATACAATGACTTGGATCTCAGATAAATGCAAGAAAATTCGGGTCAAGCATGACCAATTCCCCATACTTTTGGAGAAAATAAAATTCAGGGAAGAGTTGATCAAAGACAATAACTGGGAAGCTTTCCTTCCCTATGAGGCTACGACTTCACACTGAACATGGAACCAATTCCAGCTGCGTGTTTAAGCACCAGCAAGTGGAAATTCCGAAGGTCCTTAATGCTCTAAAGATTCAACATGAACCAAGTTGCTCACTGAGAGATCAATGATGCTATTCAAGCCACAAAACAAGATGCAAGAAAATATCTTTTGTTACAAATAAAGACATAATCCACACTGCTAAATGAACCAAAAAAAAAAAAAACTAGATGGAATATCATCATGCCCTTCAAGTTGAAACCTCAAGAGGCTTCATTGTCACAAAATTTATTATCAGCATAAAATTACCTACAAATCACACATGAAATTTGAAGGGGAAAAAATAAAAAAAAAAAAAATTAGACGGAGAGCTGGATTTACAAAAATTCCAGATCTAGCTACACTAGAGAGAAAGGAAAAGTTCCCAGACACTAATACAGCCGGGACCATCTCTCTGGTCCAAATTTTAACATCAATGGCCCTACATATCTTTTTCCCTTCAGCATCAAAAGAAATAATATAACAGAAGCAAGGAAAAATTACAAAAATAAATCAAAGTACTAACCAGATCTCATTTCCGAGCCTTTGTACCCCCAGCAGTCTTCTTATCCTCCTTTTCAGGAACAAACCTTGGGAGATTCAAAAGGGTATTGACGCGAGAAACTCCTTCAAGGGCAGACCAATCTATTTCTGAATTCATTTCCTCCTGCTTTAAGGAATCTTCATTCCCTCCTGATAGTACTTCTTGGCCAGTTCGCACAGTCCCAGACCGGTCTAGACTTGTCAAGGCATTGAGATTATTGTCTTTCTCACTGTCATTGTCAACTTGGTCCATAGATGTTGGCTGCACTTTTGTCTTGGCATTGGAAGCAGAGGATAAGTTGTCTGAGTTAGAATCAAGGAAGAGGCAAACAACTGCACAATCATCAACTTTTGAAGTTGGGTATTTGTATCTCCAAGCTTGAACTGCTGACTCAACCAAGGCTTGAGCAGCAGAGGAACGTAAAGGGACAGATGCTACGATATCTACCACTTCTTTGTTTGAAAGAACATCCCATATCTGCAAAATATTGAAGCAAGACTTAGATCTAGAGAGAAGGGCTCAAATGCCATTATTTTGAATAAGAATTAATGTTGGCTCCATTACCCCATCTGTAGCCAAGACAATAAATTCATCCTTATCTGATAGGTGTCGGTAAGATATTTCAGGCACAGAGATCAGGCCAAAATCCTTGAGGCAAAAATCTCCAAAAGCCCGTGCCATGGCAAGGCCAGGTGAATCATTGTTTGGCAGCCAAACTCTGGCAACTTCAGGTTCATCCTTAAGAGCAAAGACACGACCTTTACATCTTCGAATTCTCTCTGCTTCCGCTGCAAAGTGGAAAACAAGGGACTATTTAGCATGAGATTGATGTTAAAAAATTATAACAATAGGTAACAGAAACAAGCAATCAGACTAGAACAGGAAAAAAAAATTTTTTTTTCTCTTGTGCATTCTCTGTTGAAGGTCAAAGGGCATATAACCAAGCTATTTGAACCAACAATCCAAACTCAACACTTCAGATGTAAACTTCAAAATAATTTCCCATTGATTGCAAAATTTTCGTCAAATTTTCATAAATTGCTTCTTTACTCATAACATACATGGTTATCATATTTACAAAACCTTTCAACATTTTGTAATCTTATTAATTTCATCACACATATGATGCTCATACGCAAATCAATCAGTCTTGCATGAATGCATTATTCTATATGCACTCAGGCCTTCCACAACCTTCCCACCATTGCAGCCAGCAGCTCCTACTTTTTCAATCAATTCATGTCAGATAACTGCATTCTATTCTTGGGTTATATGATTCTGGTCTTTCTAAAACTCTTCAACATCTGATACAAAATCCTCAAATGCTACTAACTTAGAAGTTGCCACACCAATCATGAAAAAAATCCTTACAACTTTTAAGATGTTTCAGCCTCACATTGCCTTAGCCAATTGAACCAAATTTCTGATGCTTACATATGTAAACAATGTGACAATATTCGCTAAAATATGTCCACTAACATATAAGAGAGAATTTCTAGGTTGGCAAACCAATTAGGACTAGAATTAATATTCTCTTATGTCAGCTGTTGAATTCTTGTCTCTCAACAGCTTCCAGTATTGAAGAATTTATTGAGAATGGACAAGACAAACATAAAGAAAACTAAGGAAATAAGAGGACACACGAAATTTAATATGGGCCAACAGCAGACAGCACACAGAGGAACCTATGGATGCAATCATGATGTGGTGGACATAAGAAATGCTATGGAGGCCTCAAAACGATTCTATTATATGTACTGTTATGCACAAGATGAACATTTCAAATAGCATTTTGTATTGCCTTCCATTATACTTATTTTTTCTCCTATCCTAACAAAAAACACAGAAATTAAAGAAAAACCAAATGGGTGGCACACTCACGGCACATACACAAAGGACCATAAATGATAGAGAAAACAAAACTTAGAAATAAAAGTCAAAAACATCAAAAGTTCAAAAAAGAGAAGCACCACTGCTATTACCTATCATAATTTTTAGTCAGAAACTCAGTAGAAAACAATAAAATACAACAAAGCGTGAATGTAGTTGCACATATGCATGCAGTTGTGTATGACTAAAACAGACAAATAGACCTGGAAGATTTGGTTTGAGATCAACAGTCAACTGAACTGCAGTAAGTGAATTGTCTTTGTCCCTTGTAGCCAACACAGCTCTGGAGTCCCCAACATTTCCAATGACAAGATATGGACCCTATACAAAGAGCCAAGAGAATCATGATTAACTATGAAACATATCATAACATAGTTTTTCAAATAAAGTTTTAAAAGTAGCAGCTGTATACCAGCTTGACCAAAGTTACAGCTGTTGTTCCACTGCAGAAGCAATCAATATGGGCATACATTCTAAGCTCTCTGTCCATCACCTTGAAAGCCTTCAGAAAAGACTCTTTAAGCATCTGAAAGATCTCAGGGTGCTTTTCTGTTTCCTCAAGATCTACAGAGGCCCTAGATTCCTCATCAGCTAATACAGAAGCATTATCTTCAGAGTTCATGCTTCCTGCAGTGTTCAAGCTGATCTCTCTGAGAACATCCTCACTGGGTATATGAACGTCCCAGTGAGCACTTAGTTTTAAGGGAAGACGGTCCCTCACTCTCTTTGCTACCATATGACCATAAGGACCATGGCCATCAAAAACACCACAGAAAACCGTATCTGTTCTTGAACCAAAATTCTGGGGAACAACAGCCATAGATAGTGAGAAATGGAACATGATAATGCAGAAAAAAAAATTAGTTAAGATACTAAAAATATTTACAGCATTGGTGATTTGCAGCTCAGATCTATCTATTATTACTATACCCCCTTATCCTTTATATTCAAATAATAGGATATATCTTCCAGGGATAAAACAAGTCAATGTCTTGGCCTTCTTCCCCAACAAATGGTCGGGCATAGAAAAGAGTTAAAAACCTTCTTTCATTATCCAGTCTACAGGCATTACCATCATCAATGTTTATATACTCCTCTAAACAAAAAACAACTACGCTACATGGATTATATTGCACCGCTGTACTCTATTTTTGACCATATTGTCAATAAGCTTACTAAAATTGATGTTTTATTTTGTAGTTTCCAACCATATCCTTTCTTAGTCTTCCTCTCCTCCTCTTGACATTGGAATCTACATAAAGATTCTAAAATGATTTCCCAGGTGTGTCAAACATTTAGTCCCCAAACACAGACAGATGCAGCAAATTCAAAATAGAAAAACAAAAGAATTTAAATTAACCACCGTGGAAGTATCATTGCATATAGAAACTAAATGATTGGATAATATCCTAAAAGAAAGTGGAGAAGTTGCAGCAAATTAATATAAAAATGTTTTTCCTCTAATTAGAAAGCTATGAGGATATCTACACAAGGAAGTAAAAGCTACATAAACGAATAAAAAAAGGGTAATACAAAATCTAATGTTAGCAGAAACAAATTAACATTAAATTAATTAAACATTATATACATTAAAAGATATGAACGAATAATACTACAACACCATCAACTGGCAAGCAACCAGAAAAAAGGTAAATTCATCCAAGAATTAGTGTACTACTATTATAAGTTAAATTGATTGTTTTGAATGCTATGCAAGAAAACATCACACATGAAGCCAAATTAAAGCCAAATATATTAAATGACAATTGTTTGACCAGTTTGATAGAAACAGGATTCTAATGAAAAAGTAAACTAACATGTGAAAATGGATAAAAGGAGCTACCTCCCAAGCAATCATGGCATCCTGGTTGGTTCCTTTCTTGCCCTGTTGAGTAAAGAGTGAAGCAACATCACTGGACCCATTCAAGAACAACCTCCCTGGAATCCTATGCAATGGTTCTTCCTTCAGGTAGTCAAAATACCCTGGTCTCCTCCTTGAATTCCTCCTTTTCATATTCGCCAGATGAGGGGACGAAGGCGAACCAGGAAGAGGGCTCCTGCTTTCAGCAGATAAGCAGGAACCCATTCTGAGGGCCCTGATAATATTTAATATGCACTCCAGACCAGCCAGACAATAACAACCCCTATCTTCAGTAGACGGATCCGCCAGAACTTATTGGGTTAAATCCTTTAAAAACTTTCTAGCTAATGTAAGGATTAATCCACCACTAACCTTCAATTTTACAATCCTTTTCACCAAATCTCAAAAAAAAACCTTCCCAATTCAGAGCCAAAAACTCTTTTCACCAATTGGTAATACCTTGATTAGTTCTTCAATCTCTTAAAATTCTAATTTAAAAGCGACACTTTTGAAACCACAGCTTTAAAAACTATTCCTTTGTGTTTCTCTTCAAATCACTTGAATAAAGACCTTAACTTAAAATTGCCAAATACCCTTTTCCACCTTCAATCTAATGATCAGATGATTCAGATCAATCCACGAATGCAATCTCATAAACTGCTTTCAACAAAAACAAAAATCTCAGAATGAACCAACAAAGCAAAATAAAAAAACAAAAGAAATATATATTTTTTTGGTTTCAAAAGCTTTCTAATTTACACAAGAAGAAAAGGAAGTTTTTTTTATTGATACAAATAAATGATAAACGCAATCTTAACTCCTTTTTTTATCTCAATCAGAAAGCAAATAATAAAAAAGCTGTAAAAGGCATATGTACCGAAAAAGGAGATTTACAGATGCAAATCTATGGGAAAGAAGAAAGAATATGGAATCTCTAATTCCACATTCAATAACTTTATGCAAATCTATGGGAAAGAAGAAAGAATATGGAATCTCTAATTCCACATTCAATAACTTCCCCATAAAAGTAACACCCTTTTCAATAAACAAGGCCAAAAGTTGTAATTTAAAAAATTGAAAAGAATTGAGAGTCCTATAATTCTCACCAGAAACTAACCAAAAGAGCAAACATTTTCAGCAGATCAACAGAATAGCTGATCGAAGCAATGGTCAAGATCAGCAAAAAGAAAGAAGCCCAAGGATTGGAAACTAATGAATGTGAAAAGCGCAACGAAAGAGAAAGAGCAGTTTCAAGGAGAGCAAGGGAACAGTGAAAATGGGTAGAGAGAGAATTGAGGGGAGAGTGACGAAAGGAAGAGAGATTCTAGAGAGAGACTGTATGAAAGTTGTTTATGAGAGAGAAAGAGGCAGAATGCGATGACACGAAAAAGAAAAAGAAAGGGCAGGTACAAATCAGCAAGAAATAACCGCGACCACCGGCAACAAACTCGCCTTCTTTAAAAAAATAAATAAAATAAAATTTTCCTCATGTTTATTGGGAATAGGAAAATGATAGAAAATAATGAATTTTTTCTGGAGAGAGAGAGAGAGAGAGAGACAGTGGAGTCACTTTCGAAAACATGTTTTTTTTTTTTTTTTCAGAGAGCTAAGATTTTTAGATATTGTCTAAAAAATATTATTTATGGATTCGGTGGTATTTATAGCAAAATTTGTAGATAAAATTATAAATCCAAATTATTATGTCATAATTATTTTATTTACGTTTTTTTATTTTCCAAAGGAAATTTAAATTCAATTTTAAGTGTTTTTAGCTACAGTCTAGACATGATAAAAGAGTGAAAATAAAAATATATATTTTAATAATTATATATTTTAGGTTAATTGGAAATATAGATTGTTTTTTTTATTTTCATTTTTATATGAGATTTTTTGGGATTACATTTTTAATAATCGACAAAAATGAAAGGACAGATTTGTTAAAGTACAATTTGAGATTTTGTAGATGCCTTAACTTTTTCATATTCTATATTAATTTTTAGTACTTTTTTATTACTTTTCATTCATTCAAAATTATAGCTTATCGTGTTAATCGAAATGTTCAAAAAATAATATAAATAACACTAAAATTAAAGCGTATTAAATTCCATACCATGCTCTTGGCTTAAAAAAAAAAAAAAAAAATCCTTTGGTTAAAACTAAAAAAGTTCAAAAAAAATTTGAATTTTCAAAAGAAATTAGGTTGGGTAATTTGGGTTTTATAAGTATTTCGATTATTATTTTGATTTAAATAAATAAAATAATTGATTTCAATTTTAAATACTTAAATTGAATAAATTAAAATATTTGATTTAATATAAAATAAATAATTAAAAATTTATATGTGATATACGTATACCTAATAATATGATATAAGTATATTTAATGTGAAAAATTAAAACTAAAACTAACTAAACTCAACAAAATCGATCAAAATCGATTATTTTAATTCGATTCAATTTTTTTTATTTCTCTTATATATATTAATTGATTAAATTTTTGTAATAAATTAAATCAATTATTTAATTTTTACAATCGAATTAATCAAATCAATCATTTATTCAACCCTACTCAATATCAACATAAAGTCAGGATCAATTTAAGATGAAGGTACATTTACCCATACTCCTTTAAATGCAAGCATCTGATGAGGATCGAGAGTGACAACCAAACAAAACAAAGTGTTGTATGATAGCAACAATTAACGTAACCAAAATTTTAGGATAATTTTAAGGGATAATGCACTGAACGAGGCTCTTTAATCCAATGTGAAAATTAATAAATATAAATGGATAACGCATGTTATAAAAGGATAGCCTCTTATTTTAGAGGATAAATATAAATGGATAATGCATTGGATAAGGCTAATTAAGGTAATAACAATAATAATAGAAGAAAAGTTTCCTCAGAATCACATCACGGTTGATAAGATTTAACAATTTTGGTTTGAACACCTATGAATAATTGATTGAGATTTGTTTCCTCGTGATAGAAACCTAAATTCCCATGTTTTTCAAGTGGTTTTTATTTTTTTTTATATTTCGAAAGTGATTTTAATTACAATTGCAATTTGCAAATTGTAATTTCTATAGTGAAACTCAGGCTTCTGACGACTTAGCTTTGGAAACGATAAACACATGCGTGATTTTTCATTTCAATGGACATGTCAATTCCAAGATTTGCATCAAAAAAAATTTTTTTGTCAAATTTGATTTCAAATGACTGATCATAATTATTGCTTTATTTTTTAATTTGAAGTTATAAATTAAAAATTTACAATATTAATCAAAATCATGATCAAATATCATATTTTAATAAAAAAATTTTATTAAATTACATCAAATAAACAAATCAATTAAAAAATCAACACATAACTAATTAAATTTAATATAAAATTAAATCAAATTCGCACATTGAAAAACTTGAATTTTAAATCTCGAAAAATTTTTACCTCTTTCCTACTATTAAAACAAAATTTCATTGGCAATTATTACTTTACTTCTAAAACTGAACCATGTGGTGCAATTTATATTGGTTAAATCAAATTTCCTCTCTATAATTTTTGTCAACTTCAACCCTATCAGTGGCCCAAAGAGAAAAAGACCTCAATTAGTGATGTTCTCGCCTTTGAATTTGTCATTCTTTTGATTGTACCGTTGACAGCTAAAAAAAAAAAAAAGTATAAAACCGGTGGCGGAGCCGCATTGACTCCGGAGTGGGCCATGGCCCACCCCCTAAAGAATTTTTATAATGTATATAATTTATAAGTTTTTTTCTTAAACAAGAAAAAAGCCCCCTTAAAAAAATAAAAAAATTGTTCTTTGTAATTATAAATATTTAGAATCTTAATATTTTAAAATCAAGTTTCATTATCAATGAATTTGTTTAGTTATACTCTAATTTATTTATTTGATTATTCAATTATATAATACTTAATTGTAATTATAATTTGTGTTTGTACTTTCAAAAAAATTTTAATTCTCAAATTTTAGTTAATTTGTGAAAAATATTAATTTTTATAGTTTCGTTCTCATTAAAAAATTAAAAAATAAATTTATTTGTTAAATATGACACATATGAAAAAGTAAAAACTATTCACAGAAGTTTAATAAAAAAAATTTTTTAAAATGAGATTAATAAAATAAAAAAATACAGATCTTATCTTTAAAATTCTAAATCCAATTACCAAGTCACTATAATTATTGCAAAAAAAGGTATATTCTTGTCTTTTTAAATAGCCAATTACGTCGATGGTACAAAGGATGGTTATAACTTTTTTTATGGTAAGATCACTGTATCTTTGTCTTATGATTTTAAAGCCATTAATAATAAATTATAAGTTTTTTTAATTTTAAATATAAAAAAATTATCAATATTTATAAAAATAAAATTTAAATTTTATTAATTATATTGAGAGAAAATTTACTAAAATTTTTAAATTAATAATTTTTTTATGAAAGAACATCGTGCATAATTTTAAATAAAATTATTTGAGTTTTTTTTTATTTTAAGTAGTTATATTTTTTATTTCAATACTTAAATTTTTTTATATTTTTTATTTATGATTACATTATAAAATTATATATTTTACTTAAATTTTTTGTAACTTTTGATAAAATAATAACATATTATATATTTAGTAAAAATTTTCAAATTACAATCCTTATTTAGTTTAGCTCCCTAATTTAAAATCTTGGACCCGCCACTGGTATAAAACTATAGTGCTAACATGGATAAAAAGATTACTTAAACTCAGACATGAATTGCATTTAAACTAGCTTATTGGAAGTTTAAAATATTTTATGAAGTTTTTAACGTACACAAATGAGTTGGAATGCATATTGTGCGTTCATACCTGTATTTATAAAAAGAAAATCAATTTATATCGATATAAAATAAATTAAGTTTTATATAGTTTTTATAATTTCATATACAATTATTATTTTAACAAATACATTGTTGGATTATTGTTTTAAAAATATAATTTATTCATAGCTATCATATCTATAAAATTTTAAATTAATTCGATATTTAATTACATTGGTTGAGGGTAATAAAATTTTTTAATATATATTCAATGGGTGAAATTTTTTATTATCAAATAAATTGTTCAACATTTTTAATTAACATAAAATTTCACATAATTAATTTCAATAAAGCTAATAGTTAGATTAATAAAATATAAATTATGTCTATAGTAATTGATCTCTTCATAATGACATACTAAAAACCATATTGCAAAATTTAAATATTTCATCATCAATGTATAAGATAAAGAAATTGTGGCCCAATTTATTAAAAAAAGAAGAAGAAGAAAGTATAGCACCTGATTTATGTAATAATCACAATCCACTAGATCATCTTCCTCTTGACTATGAAATAATTGTTTAAATTGATTTCAAATAGCTAGGAAATTTGAGTATTACTGTGTATAGATTTGATTCAATTTTATGTTTTGATTTATTGATTAATTAATTTATTTAATTATTAAATGATTTTATACATATAGACGTAATATTTAATTATGATTTTTTTTTGTTCTTGTAATTTTATTAAAAAATGTAGTAATCACAATTAGGAGTGTAAATGATACATTAATACTCGTAAATTACTTGAATTCGATTCGAATAAAACTCAAATTCGGTTCTATTATTATCGAGTCGAGCTCGAGGTCGAGTAGCTCGACTTATCGATCGAGCCAAGTTTGAGTATTTTTATACCGATTCGAGTAGCTCGCGAGCCTAATCGAACTTTTATATTTAATTTTTTTATTATTTTAATGAATAAAATATATCGAATTCGAGTTCGAGTTTGATTACAAATAATCGAACTCTTGTCGAAGATAAAAATCTAACTTATTTTAACATATTAATCGATCGAGTTTGAGTATCTCGATTTTTATTACGAATCGAACTCAAACTAAAAAAATGAAATTCGATCGAGTTCGAATCGAGTATCTAGCCTCGAGTTGAAAGTCGAGCTCGAACTTTTCACTGTATCGACTTGACTCGACTTGATTACACCCCTAATCACAAACCACTATATAAATTTAAAAAAAAACAAAAAGAAAATTTGATTATATGAATAAGGAAAAGAATGGAGGAAATAACGAAAACAAGGATATGTACCCCTTTGTTATTCATATTTTTGAAGAAAAAAGACACCATAAATGACTGGTGCAAACTAGTAAATCCTACATGAAGCTTTCTAATTTGTTAAAAATTATGATTTTTTTTCTTCTAAAACTTTAAGGCCAAAGCTCTAAATCCATGCATTTGGATATCTTAAATTCAAATTTCACCTTTGTTTTAGTTATACTTTAGATTTGTTTCATTGATTTTTTATATAAGGTGTAATTTTTTTTATCATGATTACAATATTTAGTTGTACATGTAATTTTATTAAAAAAACAAAAAAAAAAACAAAAAATGAAACAGCTTAGAGATAAAAAAAGGAGGGGGACATGTGAAACATGTGAATAAAAATGATCCCAATCCGATTTGAGGAGCATTGCTTTTGATTCCCGAAAT